CTAAGTCATAGTTCCAAAGAGACGAGACATTAACTTCACTTCCTGGCTGTATTCCAGTTATCTTCAGACTTGCAAAGGTCCAAGTAGCTGCAGAAGGAGAGTCCAAGGTTTTCCCAGAGGTGGGGCTGGAGATTGAGGGTTTTTATCTGTCTCTTGAGCCAATTCCCTGCCAGGAGTAAAGGATCTAACTGGAGTGGAGTCCAATTTGTTGGGTATGATCAAATTACTAACCCATTGCACTGAAGATGATAAACACTAGTGTTTTTTTAATTCACGCACATTTCTATGAGTATTTCCTAGCATGAAAAGGGAAGTTAGATCTTATTTATTCTTGCTTCTCTGAGAGAAGCCTCAAGTAAAAGAAGGAACTAGAAGTTAGCCACTCTATTCATTTCACTAGAGAGCAATATTAAGCTCTCTCAGTGCCTCATGATATGAACCACCACTGGGAGGATATCCATTCACTTGATTATTAACTATATATTGAATTTCTAGGCCTGCTAAAGAATTGACTTGGGATGAGACGTAGGCCCTGTTCTCAGTGAGCTCCCTCTCCAGATGTTAATCATATAGGTAAATATGACGCCAAGTATAAGGAAGGCAGAAGTGGGGGAGGGCAGGGGATTCAGGCAGAAGGAGCACCACGTGCTAGTTGCAGAAACTAGAGGAAATATACTATGTTCAGCAAATGGAAAATGGTTCACCTAGTAAGAACATAGTGTATGACAGAGACTAAGGTTGAAGACAAGTTTTAGGTAAGAGACCCACTTTAAACTAGATAATCGTTCTGATTTCACAAGTGCCTATGTTTTTTCATGTACCCATGTGCTTGTCAAACTTCCCCACATGTTCATTTTGAAAATATACTTGTGCTGTTGGTATGTACTTTGGCTGAAAAGCAAGTATTTCTGATACTGGGTGAAAGAGTCTTGTGTGATTTAAAACAGTTGCTACTTTTTCTTCCCGTCTCATTATTAATTTTTGATAGTGAAAATTGGTTTAATCCTTTTTCCATCACAACTGTAAAGCTATGTTTCAGCTAAGGTAGTGGGCCTCATTCAAAACTGTTAACGGTGGGTCAGACTTGGGTAATTCCTTGCCCAAATCATCTTATAGGGACCTTATCACCCATGTAGAAAAGGACATTTTCAGAAAACTCTCTCTCTATATATTTTTTTTCCAGTATGTTCACTATATATATATATTATTTTTTTTTTCAGTACTGGGATTTGAACTTAGGGCCTCATACTTGCTAGGTACCACTGGCGTCACTCTGCTAGTCCTTATTTTGAGTTGAGTATTTTCAAAATAGGGTCTCTAGAACTATTTGACCCAACTGGATTCAAACAGCGATCTTCCTCATCTCTGTTTCCTGAGTAGGTAGGATTTCAGGTGTGGTTTTGAACACACTTACCTGGCTTCTCTGTGGTGGTAGAGAACAGATTTCAAAACTTTAAGTACTTTAACAAGAGTCAATTCTTGTAACATGTTCTGGAAATTTATTTTTTGGTAGTATTCCATTGGATCCATAAAGTCAGGGCAGGTCATAATTATAGTCAAGAAGGTAGCAGTAAATTACCTCTCCATCTTCATTTCTTCTTAAATAAAGAAAACACATGAATTATCTCCTGGCCTATTGGACCTACCAGAAGACATATGGTGGTGAAAAATTTGAGTTGAAGAAATTAGAACTGTTTTGTTTATCATTATTGACAAGTACTTGGACAGTTGAAACCATTGCTCATATCTCATGAGGCATTATTAAAAATCCTGGAAGACATTTCAGAAAGAGTTTACTGTGGTTTAGAGAGGACTTTGTCATCATTCTTCATGGTCTACTTTGGTTGGGACCATATCACAAATTAATGTATCAAGCAAACATTTTGGAAAAAGAAGAAGCCAGTTACTAAGGAAAAAAGTGTAAATAGTGCAGTGAGGCTGGAGAAAACAGGGTAGATTTGGAAAGTTTAGGGCAAGCATGATAGATTGTTGACAGCAGGGTAACGGAATCTGTTTTGGGCTGCTAGGTAGACACCAACTGACTATGTGATCTACCACGAATAATACAGCTATAGTTATAGTAGAAGGCTCTCTACCATATAACACAAACACATAGTGAATAATCACATAGCATTCATTATGATTTAGAGTCATGGAATGCTATTCTTATCTTCATGATTTCTGTCTTATTTTTATTAAAATAAATTTAGAAGTAAAGGAAAACCTACATCAGGATTAGAAAAGTTAGAAGGGTTTTAGTCAATTTTTTTTGGTTTCGTAATTTATTTTTAAACATTTTAACAAAAAATTTCAATGTGTTCAAAATTGGAAAGAATAGTAATGAAACCCAAGTTACAAACTCTTTTCTAATCCTCTAAATCCCCCACTAACTAGATTTTTTGAAGGTGAACTACAAAATCATGTTATTTTCTTTTAAGCACTTCAACAATTTTTTCTGAAAGGGAAGGATCACCTCTTAAAAACTGAACCACTAAATCAATATCATATATAAAAATTTATAGTAATTCCTTAATATTATCAAATTCAGTTGGTGTTGAAACTTCCACAATTGTTTTTATATATGTATATAACACAAAGAAACACTTCTAGACATATGATTTTAGCAGTCATTGAGAAACATTTCCCAGATTCTTTGTTTTATTAGGAATTGGAAAATACTCTTTTCTTACTTATTTACTCTCTGAAGGTCTTCTAAAATGAAGAACTTTTCTTTATAAAATATATATCTAATATGCTAAGAAGGTAGGATGAAGTGTCATTCTTTCCTTTATTTAAAAATTTTCAGAAAAATGAGTTAAATTTTCAATACCTTTCAAATATAACTGTATATATTATGTTTATTTTATACTACTAGGGATTGAACTCATGGCCTCATACTCTTCCACTTGAGCCACGTCCCCTAGGCATTTTGCTTTTAGTTTATTTTTCAGATAGGGTATCATGCTAACTTTGTCTGGGCCAGCATAGAACCACACTCAAAATATGCTGCTGTGTGAACATACCATGGTTTATTTTCAAGTGTCTAATTGATAGGCATTTGGGTTGATTTCAGGCTGCTTTTTGCCCCCTACCTTTTAATCAGGGAATAGATTTCTAGAAGTGGGGTTACTGACTCAAAAATCAAAAACATATGTAATTTTCTAGACACCACTAAACTCTACACATTAGTGGTTTTATTAATTTGTGTTTTTTGGATAGAGTTCGAAGGATCTCTAACTAGACTTTGGGGGAAATATAAAATTTTCTGATGATTTTTAAGAAAACAGGATGTCTCTGAGGTATAGGCCTTGGAGTTCAAGCTCTTGGTCCTTTTGTTTTCCAAATAGTAAAGATTTCTGCTTTTCACTACCTTCAATTTGCTTCTTTTATTTCACTGAGTATTTCCCATAGGCAAAGGCATGTGCTACATATTGGTTAGATACTCAAATAGTCAACATAATGCCTGCCCTCTACAAATTCACCATTTGGGTTAGGAGATAGGCACTTAACACCTGATTCAAGACAAATGGCCAAGTGATGAAACTTTACATGCTTTGAGGACCCTGTAGAAGAGAGGGGTGCCTTTTGACCAGTGACCTCAGGAGAAGGTCCTGGGTAGATGGGATTTGGACTGGCATAGAGGAAAGTCACTTTTATCTGAGGCAACTATTGGAATAAGGTCTCAGGCCATGATGAGTGGACCTTTGGGGGCTTCAGTAGATCTCTGGGGCTGCTCTCGGAATTTAAGAGTCTTGTAATTGTTCACAAGACACACATTTCTTTAAATTGCATGAACTGAGCCTTTTGATTCCTTTCCCCCAACTTTTTATTAGCATATATGAATTGTACAAAAATAATGGGTTTCATTAAGACATTTCCATGCATGCATATACCACACTTTGATTCCTTTTTGAGTGTTTGCTTTCCATGGTTTGAAACCCTTAAAGCTTCAGTTTGCACAATGAGATTCTCAAGGAAATACAGCCTCAAGTTTGACCTCTCAACCACAGTCTTGAGTCATTAGCCTGCGGCTCGTCAGTTTGCTGTAGAGGACTACCTGTGTGATACCCAGAGAATGCCCTGGATTTTGCATTTTTAAAAAGAGAGAGGAAAAGGAGGAGAGGGCACGGGTCAGAGTGTGAATTGACATGAGCTTCCCAGATTTTTGTTTTTATTTTCACACACACACACACATGTTCATATAATACCAGAAGCATGTGGAGGGGGAGGAGATGGCTTGGGCTCTCTCTGGCTTGTCCTCTCATTTATAGAGGAAGAAACCCAAGTCTAAAGAGCTTACTATATTTTCTCTGGGACCTCACATCTTATAGGTGCCAGACTCATAGAAAAGCCTGAGTCTTTACATTTTCTTTTTTTCCCCCTCTTTGGTTTTTTGGAGACTGATTCTGTGTATCCTAGACTGTCCTGAAATTTGCTATGTAGAGCAGTCTGTCCTCAAACTTGTGATCCTCCTGCCTCAGCCTCCTGGGTGCTGGGATTACAGGCCTGTACCACTTGACCAGCTAAGTCCAGGTTTTCATTCCTCCCTCCTTCATCTGAGCAATTTGATGCACACTTTCCTAGGAAGAGCTGGAGTCAGTTCTTAAAGAGATTTAATGATGAGCACACAAATCATCAGAAAGTCAGAAGCCTGTCTAATTTTCTTTTTATGAGCTTTACATATAACATAATGGTCATTGAAAATAAATCTTTGGAATCTAAACTTGACAATGTCCTTCAGCTGTAATTCTCTCTCTTGGGCTACAAGGACATATTTTCCTTTTATTGCAAATTGAACAGAAGCAGTTTTACCACACAGCCAGCAGTTTAGCAAGGCTGCTTTAAGTTTTGAACCTCTCCAGATTTATCTTGACTGAACTTAAAGTTGTGAGTTTATAAACATTTTCAGTGGTGTGTTCTGTCTTTGAATGGGCTATGGCAGTTACCTGGAGGCTTCAAACTATAAATTTATGTGGTTTGTATTATTTTCCTTTTTTTAGGACCAGATCTTCATGGAAAATGTAGGGGCAGTGAAGCAGCTCTGCAAACTAACCAACAACCTTGAAGAAAGAATAGAAGAGTTAGAAATATGGAACAGGAATTTGGCCAGGCTAAAGCACCTCAGTAGAAGTTGGAAATCTTCAACCAGCCAAGCAAGTTCAATTAGGTATGTCCAATATTTCATAGACATTTGGGGAAAGAAAAGAGTGGGCTCGTTCCATAACTAGACCAATCTAATTGGTCTTTTTGATCAAGCAGCAAAGCAGCAATCATTATTTTTTGAGATTGAGGTCCTTATTCTTTTCTTAGAATGTTTTAAGACACAATTGCTTTAATCTGATAATTTTCTTATTTTTTCTGTTGCTGCTTTAGAAACAAGATAAAATATGATACATCTATTTAACAGCAGTTGTAATTGGAAGTACTAAATTTTAACAAAAGGATAACTTCTTTAATGAAGAAAAGTGGTCATTTCTAAATTTAGAAGACTATGCTTGGTCCTCAGAGATTAAAAAAAAGTATCTTTATTATTTGTTTTTATAATTTAAAGAAATAAATGCACATTTTCCTATGGTCTAGTTCTGAGAAAAAGAGAAATGTAATGTTTAATGCATTCATTTATGCTTACTAAGGGTTTTTTTCACAAAAAGAACTCCCAATTGCTTTGACTTTTCTTTTTTCAAATTATCACTGTATTACAAAAGAAAGTCACACTGCTATGTTTGTGACAGCCTGGGCTTTTGTCATATAACTCCTAGAGAGGCATTTGAATAGTAATCAATTCTCTCTTTTTTTTTAAAAAGCAAACTTAGCAGAGCTGTTAGTACATCTTCTTCAAGAAGAACCATTTCCCAAAAAAGCAACAAGGTAAATAGACTTAAATTTATAATGAATAGTACTGGGGTTTGTCAGTACTGGGGTTTGAACTCAAGGCCTCATGCTTGCTAGGCAGGCACTGTACCATTTGAGCCACTCCGCCAGCTCTCTTTCATGTTGGGTATTTTCAAAATAAGGTCTCTTAAACTATTTGCCTGGACTGGCTTCAAACCTCCATCCTCCTGATCTCTGCCTCCTGAGAAGGTAGGATTGCAGGCATGAGACACTGCTGGACGCCCAGAGATATGGTATTTTTCTGCACAAAATGAAACGTCTTTAGAGAAATTGGTCAATAATACCCTCTTGCTAATTCGCTAATGGATTTCCCTAGTTTGTATCCTTATGCCCTTCAGATGTTTGAATACTATTATTTTAATGAATATCAACTGTCTTTTAAATAGCAAAAGTTTAATGAAGAGTCTAGAGCATGTCCATTTCAGAAATATCCTGCCAGGTTTTGTTTATATTGTCTTCATCAGGTGAAATTCAGTAGCCTTCACAGGCATATAGCTGTGTGCTGCAAGTTTATATATAACCCTTGACCTCACCTAGTCCCTTATTTTTGGCTTTGGAAGACCCTAAAGGGCCTTCAGTGAGTCCTCAAATCTCTTTTTTCTCTTTGGTATTTAGTACTAAATATGCAAATGGGAAGATAAATATTTACTTGCTTGCAAAGGTTGAAATATTATGGTTTCATTAATGAATAAAAAAGCCTTACATCAAGTAGGATAACATTTCTAGTAAAAAGTGAAGGTTAATCATTTATTAACTTGAAGGATATCTTCTCCATCACAGAGACGGGTGGATGAGGGAAAAGCTGCAATAGTCCCTTTCTAGGGACAAATTCACAGAGAGCTGCTTGTCCCTTGGATTCACCACTGGTCTAAAGCAACCCTTGCCAGTGGAAGATAAGCATGACCTTAATTGTTACCCTATTAAAGACTGACCTGATTTTTGGGTCACTGCCTAAGTTTACTCTTTATACCTCATGCTACACTGTGTCAAACTATTCTAAAAGGATTCAGAGACAGTCCAAGTTTTAGTCCTAGTTTTAGTTCTGCTAAAAACTAGGAAAGTGTTATACACACACATATATACATTTATGTATATTTATACATGTATATGTGTATACATATGTTATATACATTTATGTGTGTGTAAGTTCTGGGCAAGTAACTTAATCACATTTGAAAATATAGATAATTATAGTCTCTACCTGATGAAAATTGTTGATATGATTAAATATGCTAAAGCTCTTAGCACAGTGTCCAGCACATATTGTGCAATAATCACAAAATGCTAAAAACAAAGTGTAGAAAAGGTGCTCTTTGTACTAACCGCTTTGTAATAGGATGCAGAGAATAGAATCTACATTCACTTCACCCCTGATAAGTGCAATTTGGTCACCTGCAATCTCTGTAGCTTCCATCTTACCCAAATATTCTATTCATTTTGCAGTTATCTCAGAATATCAACTAGAGTGTATGGTTCAGGACAGCAGACCCTGTGTCTGCCTTCCTCACTCTTTGTCCCCAGGGACCAGCACCTGTAGGAAATTCAAGAAATATTTGTGAGATGACTACACGAGTGGAGAGCCTAGTCTGGAGATAGCCCTGAAGGCTCACAATTTAGATTAAAAATATTAAGTGACTCAGTGTCTCTGATGTGTGTGGAGATGGGATGGAATTGTAGGGTGGACAAAGTATGAAGAACTTACGTAGACCTTAAAGAGTTCCCATTTGATGCTTGCAGTGTCTGTAAACCAGTTGAAGGCAAAGATAAGTCAGATGTGATCTCTTGTCCTAAGGAAGTTAAAAGGAAGCTAGGGAAGAGGGGAAGAAAATACGAAGAACAGTTGGACCTGATGTGCTAAATGCAGCAGAGGCTCAGTGTCCTACAGGAGTATTTAGGGGTCCTGAAATTAAAGGCAGTGTGCTTTGTCCAGACTGCGATGGTGCTGGGGAATAGGTTTTAGATAGAATGGTTTAAGCAAAATTCTTGGAGCTGGCAGCTGCTTCATTGAAGGATTAGGTTAGAGTTGGTTGGGGAGGAGAGTGAAGATATGATTAAAAATATAGGTTAGACAAAATTAGAGATAAGGGCAAAAGAGTTTCTGCCAGGTTTTGAGGGGGTGGGGGGGAAGAGGGAGGGGGCGGAGTGGGTGGTAAGGGAGGGGGTGGGGGCAGGGAGGAGAAATGACCCAAGCCTTGTATGCACATATGAATAATAAAACAATAAAAATATATATATAGGTTAGACTCAGATGTCCTGGGACACCAACTAAGAAATTCATTTGATAAGGCATGAAGATCTTTTGAGCAATAACAATAATTTCAAGTTGCATAGTGTTTTTTACTTTTTGTTTTTACAGGCAGAAAAAAAGGAGGCAGCATAGCATTGTGTTTAAGAGCACAGACAATGGAGCCAAAAATTTTAAATTGAAATCTTGGCTCTGCAAACTATTAGTTGTATATTTTAGGCAAGAAACTAAGCATTCTTGGGCCTCCTTTTCCTCATTTCAAAAATCAGAATGATGAAAGTGCCTGCCTCATTGGGTTATTGAGATGATGATAAAGATCTAGACACTGGTGTATGTATAGCCACAGAAGAATGCATGGAACACAGTAAGTGCTAGATATGTGATTACTGTTAGTGCTTTCAAACCCATTATTTTAGAGAGTTCTCATACATGGTTGTGTAGCAGAATCATCCAGTGAACTTGACAAGGGACAAACAGTGGAAGTGTTTTGTTCCTCATGCAGTCTTGATAGGATCTCTCTGCTGTTTCTGAGAAGCTGACTTTCCCTTGCATGCCACCACCAACCCTCTAGGTGACCTCTGTTCCTTGGGGCCTCCTTGGATCACTGAGTCATTGAAATACATGAATGTGGGTGAGGAGTGGTACTCTCAAGCTGGATGTGTGTGTGTGTGTGTGTGTGTGTGTGTGTGTGTGTGTGTGTGAATGGGGGGAGGTGTTAATAATCAAAGTGCTTGCTGTGAGCAATTGATGGGTCTTACTGGAGTTAAGAAGCCTGGCTAGGACCTCCCTCAACTTCCACACAGCTCCCAGTGTTGGTCGAGACACAGTCCAGAGGAAGATTGAGGTATCCTGATTTATTGCTCATCCAGTTGATAGGGTTGCTCTTCCTTTCCTCTTTCTCCACCTCCAAGAGGTAGGTAGATGATTCCTGCTGTGTACAGTGGTGGGTGAGGTGGGAACCCTTAGAGTTCAAGCTATAATTCAGAGCATGTGGAGAAGGAAGGAAAGAAGGAATGAGCATGGCTAAATACTTTGCATTATCTTTTGAGGCAAGGTACCTGCACCCTGGCATTTAGGTTTTTAATAGGTTCCATAGTAATCCTTAAACACATTGTTAATTGGATCCATCTCATAACTCTGAAATATAAGCAGGCATTACATTATTTTTTCCATTTTATTGATAAGGAATATCTCCAAATCTGACTCCAGGTCTTAGGCCATTTCCTTTTGCTTGGTCAAAACATTTTGAGCAAAATCATGGAGATTTAACATAGTTCAGCAGCTGGGAAGGGAAGGTTGGAGGAGAAAGTGTTTATTCTGAGAATAATACTATTTAATTACAATTAATTCAAAGAATTTTATTGAGTTCCTTCTGTGTATAGCACACCATTAGGACATCAGTTCCAGTGAGATATAAAATAGTACAAACCATTGACTTCTTGGTACCAGATTGGCTTCCAGTGGACTTAGGGATGACTCAGTTACGATTGCCCCAAGCATTTGTGTACTTGTTAAGAAATGTATGGTTAGTTCCTTCTTTTTACATTGAAGAACATTTTCCTTAATCAGGTAACAAGTTCAAGAATACAAGTAAGCATTACTTTTAAGCTCTCTCTTAATTGCCATCACCCTTTAACACCCTTCCACTCAAAAGCATGATGGTACCCTGGATTCCCACAAGGGCACAGACATAATCTCCTCATTGCATTAGTAGGAAATGCACATTTCCCAAGCAGAGAAACTCTTTAACTGGATCCCCCCACACTCCAGCTCCACAGCTGTGGATCCTGTAGTTCTTGGCCCCGAATGCAAGTTTTCATGCCAGTATGTAGCGATCCTAAAGGTGTGTCTCATTCACTTCCTAGAAACTGTAACTTCTTGTCCCCCACAATGTTGTACATAGTAGTACCTGTAGGATGAATATACGAATAAATAAGAAAGAGCCCAGAGCTGTTTCTTATAAAGAGGAAGAAGAATCAGATACAGATGTATTGTAAGGAATGCTCAGTAGGATTTTATGCCACAAGAATCTTTTCCATGGTTTGTCGTGGTGCCTGAAATTCTTTTGTGGGGATCTACTTTTCCATCTCTGGAAGACCTTTTAATTTCCCATAGTCTGGGAAGGGAAGGTTGGAGGGGAAAGTGTTTATTCTGAGAATAATACTATTTAGTTACAATTAATTCAAAGAATTTCATTGAGTTCCTTCTGTGTGTAGCACACCATTAGGACATCAGTTCCAGTGAGATATAAAATAGTATGAGATGGACATGTGGATTCTGACACTGTCAGAATCAGAGGCTGTCTTTTCTCATAAAACTGCAAGAACAAGTGGTAGATGAATGGCCCAGACTATTTATTGTCCTACAGGATGTCAGGGAAAGGAGATATTGCTGTAACCCAGAGTATCAAGGAGAGGGAGGGACTTTGGGTAGGCTTTAAAGACTGTTTTCAGAGGTAGAAATAAGGAAGAAGGAAATTAAGGCTAGCACAAGAACCATCCCAATGGAGGCAGCAAAGATCCCTGCTGGGATCGGATGGGTCTTTAGGCTTCCTTCTCACAGATGTTGTACCAATTTATCACTGTTCATTAATGAAACTTTCTACAGGTTTCTTTTTCAGGAAAAAACCAGTCGTGTCCTAACTGGGTTTTCCAGACCTTGGTTATAAGTCTAATTGGTGTGATGGCATTTTGGTAAGAAAAACTTTAAGGTTATGCAATGTCAAGCTCCTTTTTCCACCATCCCATGTTTTATTTTCTTTTGTTTACTTTGAAGACAAGGAGTCCTTTAAACCAAGCACTGATCTTTGATATCTCAGAGGTGAGGGAGCCCCTTTAAATTCATATTTTGAGAAAAAAAGCACACTGCAGTGTGAGAGGAAGGATGTCTTTTTTTTTGCTATATCAGGAGTTGACACTAGGGCCTTGCACAAGCTAGGCAAACGTCCTACCACTTGAGCCATGCCCCCAGCCCTTTTGTTTATATATTGTTTTTGAGATAGCATCTCACTAACTTTACCTGGGCTAGCCTCGCACAGAGCGCATTGATCCTACTGCCTCCACCTTCCCAGTAGCAGGAATCACAGGTGTGTGCCACTATGCCCATTTTGATTTATTTTTTCAATTGCTGTGCTGTGCCATTTGTGTGTGTATTTTTCTTAGCTTTGCAAATAACTTTCTCAAATTCGTCCTTTTCCTTCCTGTCTACTTGAGAGAAAGGAGTGAGCAGGTAATCAGGTTCAATTCACCCTGGTCACTGGTTTGTATTCATTAGAATTTTTCTGGATTCTTCAGTGAAGATTTTATATCAAAAGGACACCAAGATATATGAAAATTCATCCAATATGATGAAATTGTAGGCAAATTTACTGAACAGTTGAATCAAACAAATGCAGTAAGGGGAGCAGTATCCACTAAGCAAATTGGGCAGTTTTTGATCACTGCCCTTCTGCTTGGAAAGCGGAGTGATACCTTGTTAGATAGAATGCAGGACTCAGACCTCTGCTCTCTAGGCTCCTGCTGCCGCTGTGATGGTTCCCTGCCCTTTGACCCTGGTCATCCTGCCTGTGTTCTCTTGGCCTGTGGATACTCCTTTCTTGTTTTTGGTCTGACTTTTCACATGGTGAAAATGAAAAATGCTTTAGGAGTGTAGGAAAGGACTGGTTTCTGGACCTTGTCTTGGGGAAGACAATTGCTCACCCAAGCAAAGCAAGTAAAGGTGCAAAGGTGCTTGTCCCTTGATCTAATGTAGCTTCCCAGCTACAGAAGGTAGTACAGGTCTCTGGGTACCTTTCTCTGTCCTTAGCATTTTTACTTTTAGTTTTGATGCTGGGGATTGAATCCCCTAGCCCTTGAACATGCTAAGCACAAGCTCTACCACTGACTATACCTCAGCTTATATGACTTGCTCCCACCCACTATGGGGAGATCCCCTAGTATTTGACTCCACCACACAGAATTCCTATCAGGATCCTTTGTACCTTTCTCCTGTTGGGATTCCGAGCCCAGGAGAGGGTGAGCATCACCTTTAGCAGGCACACTTCCATTCCTCAGAGCCAGATTCCCAGCCAAATAGAAAGCTGATAAGAAATCCAAGTCAAGGTGAAGAGACTGCTTTTCAAAACAAGTTTGTCAGATCTTATGAATTCTAATATTGTTAACCATAAATGGAAGGTACTAAGCTCATTAACTTATTTCTGGTCTCCAGTATACATGAAGAGGATCAAAACCAGGGTTTGCCCCTAAGAAGAAAGCAGATGTTCGTTTTATTCTATAGTCCTAGAAGTCCTCTGAGTTGTACAATGAGGTAGATGCCAAAGACAAGTCAGCAAAAGGATTTGAGGAGTAGTAATGGAGAGATGAAGAGTGGGAGAACAAAGAAAGCAAGACTGAACCAGGGCAAAGGGTTGCCAGGGTAACAATGCAAATTCTTACTGATGTGACTTTGGTGATCAGCACCACTTCTCCCAGACAAGGCTGGGCCTGCTGGGTAGTCACCAGCTGTTGCTAAGAACACTCATTTTTTGTGAGTGGAATTCAAATGTGTGGCACCTTTCTTTATATATACTCAGTGTTAGATTGTGAATCTACCAATCGATGGGGAACAAAATCATGAGGCCTTGAGTTTGGAGAAGGTACTAAGTCAGGTGATCCAGTTTGAAACCCAGCACATAGTGAGAATGAAAAGTCACTCCCTTATGTGGCTCATGTGGACATTCTAAAGTCACCCCCAAAAGAGGAAGAACACCAAGTATTTGGATACATTGCAATAATTAGCTTCCCAAAGCCCCGAGCCTTTAAGGAAAACTTCTATTTGGATCTATGAGTTCTGATCATTGGAGGAAAGGACACCTTCATTATATTGAAGTCACGTAGTATGGAAATGGGTGCTTTATTGCTTTTCTTTTCTTTCCTCTGCCCAATTTGTGTATTGTGCTGAAAAGACAGTCCTCTGGAAGATATCAGAGTGACCAAAGGATTTGGTATCCACAGCTGATTAAGCCTTTCCCTCCTTTCATCTACCTGTGCCAGTGGGATGTGAGCTTTGCCCTGACTCTGTCCTACAAGCAGCAGAGGGCTGCCTCCAGCTGTTTATATGATAGACTGCCAGGGCCATGGGGCTGCTCTATGGAAAAATCCCACAGTGTGGCACTCCCCAGGAGCATCTGAGTTGCAGGAAGCCTAGGGCTTTTTCTCACCAGGGCAGAAAACCCTAACTGTTCTGGTTTCCATGGTGTTTCTGTCAGCTATGGCTGCCCCTCCCCCACTCCTCCCATCTGCGTGGCCTGTGAGAGTAAATCTTTGGCCAGCTGGATGTGCAAGATATTTCTGGAAACAAATCTGCCACATAATGCTTTTTTTTTTTTTCCCTTAACAGTGTCTTGACAATAGTCACACTTTACATACTTAGCTTAAAAGTTCAAGACCGGCATGACTCAAATCTCCCTCCAAGGTGAGAGTTCAGATCTTGTGTTCCTTTGGAGAAAGGATTCTTGAAGGCTTCCTTCATTAACCATTCAACTCTCCTCCTCCAGCAATGTCACGAGCTCTAAGGAGCCAGCTCTGCCACCCACAGCCTCCCTCTCAGGTAAGGCTTCACATTCCTCATCCTCAAACTCAGCCTGTGTTCCTTGTGAACTGTCAACAGAAGAAACCAGCTTGCCGTTAACCTTCCTGCTCCCTTCCCTCTGCCTGATACCTTGCAGCACCTCATCCATCCCTGGCAACTACTCAGACATCCTTCCAAGTACCTGAAGTTACTTTTTGTGAGATCCTGCCATGCCAGGAGACTTTCTGCTGCCCCATCTGGGAAATGAGAAGAATCTTTTCAAGTCCTGTGCCAAGACAATCGGAGGAGAAGGAAATTCATCAGAGACAATGGGCAGGTAATGGATGTTCAAAGACAAACAACCAGGGCTTCGAAATTGAACTGTTTCCCTTGTCAATATTTACCTGAATAGTCTGTTAATGGTTCCAGGTAATGGTTCCCATCTTCTATTTGGGGTGTGGTCAAATCTTTAAAAACACAAACACACAAACTGGCAGTCATCTATACGTCAAATTCTCTGCCCAGGGATAAAATGTTGATTGATTCAAGTCCTTTTAATTTTTACAAATGCAAAGGTCTCACTTGTCTGTTGCCAACAAAGATGGTAATAGTAGCTTTATCAAAATAATCACGTGCACATGGGTTGATTTTTTTGGCTCATATAGAACTCAAAAATTGTGTGGTATCTGGGCTCCCTGCCTAAATTGGAAACTCTAGATTGAAGGAATAAGCTTTAAGTCAGTGAAAAACACAAGGCTGGCATTCCATTTTCAGAAGATCTCTTCCTTTTCCTTTTAGACACACACGCACACATACACACATGCAGTTGTTCATCAAGTAACAGAGTTTTCATGTAAAAAATTTTTAGAAACTTGATCAAAGCCTATGAGTATAATTATCTCTGTAAGTTTAAATATAGCTCTTCCAAATGTGTCCTAATTTTTTATTGTTTTTAGAAATCTCCTTCTACACACATACTAACAAGTATGTAAAATATTAATGATGATGTAATAATAATAGCAACACATATTAGTATGGCTTGTCCTTTAGGATGCTGTTGAAGCAACAACTCTCAAATAAAAAGGGCTTCATGTGGCAAAAATTTGATCTCATGTCAAATGTAGGTCAAAAGAGGACTTTGGGTTACCATGTCATTCAGGACTGAGCTGACAGAGAGCCCATCTCAGTACGTATATACACAATAGCTGAAGTAGTGGTAAGAGAGCAAGTCTCGCACTCTGGCTCTTAAAGCTGCCACCTCAATATAACACACGTCACTTTAGTTTATACTTTATTAGCCAAAGCAATTAAACCTAAATAAGGCATGATTTTGGTCATGTCTGACTTAAAATAGATGGGGAAGTGCAGATCTAACATGTGCCTAGAAGACGATGAAACAAAACTTTGGTAAGCAGTGCTAATGACTGACACACAGAATATGGTCAGTGTATAAAATTTGGGGACAGTAATGTAATTTCCTTTCCTTTTGATATTATTTCATATTCTAGTCATGGATAAATACATTATAAATTACCATTATCATTATCATGATATAATGGGATATTACTTTATGCAAAACATTGTCATAGTAGCTTATGTGAATAAACAACTTACTCCACATAGCTTACAACAAATGCCCATTTTTTTTCCAGAGAGGAAATTGAGGCACAGAGAGCTTTCCCCCTACACCTTTAAGAGGCAATGCTTGTACTTTTATTTTCTCATGAAAACAATGTTGGATTGAACTTGGGAACAGATACATTACTACAGAGTTAAGATAAAGCTTCATTTTGAAGAAAGGAATTAGTTTCAGTCATCATATTCTCAATATTTTTAAAAATAAAAATCTAGTACTATTACAAAATTCCCTAAAGCCTTCATTCCTTGTGAAAGCATGTGAAAATTTGTGGCTGGCAAACTCTTTTCTTACCTCAGACATCCTCACAGGGGACACTTGACATCCTTCTTTGAGAGAAGTCCTCAGAAGGGACCATCCCAACTATAAAAGATATACTAATGACAATGGATCCTGAACAGAGAGAGGCCATGGACTGGTCCACTCTTTACTTTCGAGTAAATTTACTACAGTAGCAACTAGCTTTTCTCATTGGAGAACACAGGGAAGAACAGTTCTTATTGCACCAGGTGGAGACTTGTTCTCTTCTGCATGACAGTGAGTGTCTGTTTATCTTATACTTCACATCTGTAGAAACCCTGAAAGAAAGAAGACCTGCTCCTGGGTTTCTGGAGCTGTCTACCTAGACAGAACTAGCAGCTTCTCTCACCAAAAATTAAATCTAAGCTCTGTCTTATAGTCTCCCTGACACTCTAGGAAACTGTTCTCTCTTTCTTCCTTCTTTCAGCTGGAGAAAAACGGAAAGGATTGAAATATTTGATTCACATTTGCCTTCAAAGAACCTGAAAACTTTCTGAGATTTAGAGTGATAAAATAGTAGAGAGCAGCTACACCAGTGACATCCTGTGTTTCTGCTCCTGGGAATCCATTATTAGCATACTTTTGCAATAATTTGATTCAGAAAAACATAAAGGAAGACTTAAGCTTCAGTTTTTAAGCAAATCATTATTATTATTATTTTGAGACTACTGGGGTTCAGACTCGGGGCCTTATGCTTGGTAAGCAAATTCTCACACTTGAGCAAGGCCTCCAGCCCTTTTTGTTTTAGTTACTTTTTAAGATAGGTTTCCTGATTTTTGCCTGGGCTGGCCTCAGACTGTGATTCTCCTATTGATGCCTCCGACATAGCTGATATCAGACATGTACCACCAAACTCGGCTTGTCATTTGAGATAGGATCTCATTAACTTTTTCTTTTTTTCTTTTTTTTTTTTTTTTTTTTGCGTGTGCTGGCCTTGACCTTCTATCTCTCTATCTCTGCCTCCCAAGTAGCTGGGATTACAGAAGCAAGTCACCACAACTGGCCCCAATGATTTTTATTAATCCGATTATTTGAAAAATAGTGCAAATCAATGGGAGAGACTTTTCAAGCTGTTTGCAGACAGCACTGTAAACCCCTCACTTGGGGTTCCAAAGGCCTTGGAAATTTATGCCAATTTAATCATTTTACAGCTGATGAAATGGAGGCACAGGACTCTGTTTCAAATTTCCCAGTTGGGTTACAGGTGGATAAGAGGAATGACTTTTTTTTTTTAAGAAAGTCAATTTATTCTAATTAACGCACAAATAACAACATTACAACAGCTGGTTTAAGGGAGCCACATAAACATTTGCCTAGCCTTCCATGCAGTCAGGGCACTCTTGTCCATGGTCACTCTGAAGCAAAGAGGCTATTAATGATAGGCTTAACTTATGGTTTTATACTCCATACTTTCATTATCAGTTACATTTTTATGATAAAGTAACTTGGTCATTGGAACCTGATTTCCATTTCTTCAGTGTGAACTTCTTGGTTAGACACATTCATTTGCAATTGTGCATTGTGTCAGCACCTCACTGAAACGCTCACAGAGCTTAATACCGCTCTGGTTCTGAGCACACTCCAAGTGGGATAACTTTGAATGTTCTATTGCTCTATAGGGTAACTATTGTTGACCACATTTAGTTGTATATTTCAAAGTAGCTAGTAGAGAGAATTTCAATTATTCCCAACACAAATGAGAAATGTTTGAAGGGATGGATCTATTAATTGCCCTGATCAGATCATTACACATTGTATATATTGACATAGCACACTCTACCCTATAATATGCATAATGTGGACACAGGGTGTGCATGTACCTGAGATCAACTCTAGGAGATGCAGAAAGTATCCACTGTATGGTTCTAGAAATCCCCTTCTATCCCTCCTCCTTACCAAGTTTGCCAGTAGCCATCAGGATGTTCCTGACACTGAGTATTTCTGAGGGTCTGAGGAAAGGCTCTGTACTCTGTTGCTGGTGCATCCTTCCCCTTTTTCCTGGGCACTGTATAACCCCAGGGCTTCTAAGTGTGGGTTAGAAAACCAGGCAACTATTCTTTTCAAACAGATGTTTCTAAGGCATTAAAGATCAATTAAAAATTAAGGAGTAGAAATAAAAAAGAAATTCACGGAATAAAAAAAATATGTAGAAAAGCTCTCAGTGGGATGCAGTGTAATATCCCAACAGCTTACCAAGCCCCAAAACACATTTATGAGCCTCCTCCCTGAGGAATAAGACTATAATAAAATAAGTGACAAGAAATCAGCATTTTAATGATACATTTAGCTCAAGTTATTATTTTTCTTTGGGGTCTAAGTTAATTGTATAAATCTGCATAGAGTATCTTTTAGAAAATTATCTCAATCTTTTGGCCCTGCCCTGTTCTCCCCCTTAATAAAAGGTCTGGGCAAGACTAATCAGGAAGTTGAAAGTATTTTAGAATATTGAGTTTCTACTCTGAAGAACCAAGTAAATGTGATGGATTGGACTTTAGTTCATGGAACAATAAAGATTTAAGTAGACAGGAGAATTAGATGTTAAAAAGTAAAGTGACTATGGGGAAAACATCTATGGAATTCTCTAGATGTAAGAGAGTTTGGTGAGATTAAAAAGAATAAAACAGAGCATAAAGACATCTGGAATTCATACTCTTTTTGTTTTAGAGATCAGAATTTTGAGAAGATGAATGTCAAAAAGAAAATGGTCCCCTGTGTTAAAGAACTTTGCCATTGATTGGTAGGGTTCATTGACTTGCTGGTATGAGTCTGGTTCAATCAGGTGAAGAGAGGATATCTGTTGTGCTGTATTGGAATATGGCCATCAACACAGTTTTACAAGAGTGCAATAGTCATCTTCTACCATGGGCAAGATATAGTTTGGTTGGACAGTGTCTTAAATGTCTCCTCTCTAGAAGTTTCTAATTTAGTGTACTGAGTGGTCTCATCTGGCAGTTGTGAAATATATGTCTAGTTTTCTAATGAAAGCCACTGACAATGTATGCTAAGCTTATAGTGAATATTGCTGGGAAGCATTTGTAAAATGAGAGCTACCCCCATATGTCTTCAGAAGGATTTATGATTTTCCAATAATTGGCCTTTCAGCACTGAAGAATCTTGCTTCCAGAGAAGTGAGAACTGGAGGTATTTTGTAGGGGATTTAAAATTTACTTCCTGCTTTTGAAAATATATCATCATCATTGTAGTCTGAAGAATTTTGTCTTCTCAATCTCATCTTTTTATTACTGTGAAAAAATGCTTTATCCCATCTGATACTCAATCCTATTTATAGTGTCTACAGGGACCTGGGAAAACAGTTCTGTGGATGTGAAGCAATTCTGTAGTTCTGTTGTTAGAATTTATAATGAGTCATTTTCCTGCAAATTCAGCAGGAAAATAGAACAAAAGGTATGGGAAGAAAAGAGACAGAACAGAGAAATTCTAGTTTCTACTTCTCTTTATACCTCTTTGCCCTGTAAACTTTCAACCTTCTATGGAAGCAGTCTTAACCAAAGTTAATAGCAGGAATCTGGGGACTGGTGGCTTACATCTATAATCCCAGCTACTTAGGAGGTTGAGATTGGGAGGATTGCAGTTTGAGGCTACCCTGGGCAAATAGTTCTCAAGAACCCCATCTCCAAAATAACCAGAGCAAAATGGACTGGAGGTGTGGCTCAAGCAGTAAAGCACCTGCATTGCGAGTACGAAGCCCTGAATTCAAACCCTAGTCCCACCAAAAAAATCCCAACCCCCCCCAAAATAAAAAAATAATAAAAAGAAAAAACCCTAATAGTAGGAGACATGTGCCTGAGAATTATTATTGGATTAATTAGAATTTAAGAAGTCTGAGGGCTTTGGGGCAGCATATATCTTTGTATGTAAAGGGAAATAAATATTCAGTATTCTAGAAAATTCTCCTATCCCAAGATCCATTTTTTTTCTTAACAGAAGGCATCATACTGGACTGGATGCTCAGATGCTTGCTCAGCCTTCCATTCTGCTCACTCCCATTGGCTAAGGGGGTGAAGGAACCCAGCCTCCCACAGCCATTCTCACATCTCTCTGCTTCAATGCCTGGGATTTTTTTTTTTCCCCCTTTGAGTATGTAGCAGGAAACATTTTTTTTTAGAGGTTAAACAATGGCCTTTCCCTCTACTTTTCCTTGGCTCCCTTCCTTCTACCCTTCCACAAATATTTATTGAGCAGCCAAACCGTGAACCTCGCATTTTCTATCTGGGGAAACATTGGTGTGAACAAGGCAGAGTCTTCAAAGGGCAGACCATCAGAAGAGAAAGCAACCCTTCCACCATGGGTGAGGGTTGCTCACCCATAGGATGGGTGATGCTTAGGAGTGATTTCCCCAAGTGTTGTGCCCTGTTGCTTCTACTTTCTAGCCTGAAATTTGACATAGAAATTTGAACATAGATCTAAGTCTGTCAATTTAAAAGACATGACTGCCCAAACTATAAATTCTTCCATTAGATTTGTTAAGCAACCCACTCAATGATTGCTTTCACTATCCACTTTCAACAAATAGGCCAGGCTTGGTGGTACACACCTGTAATCCCAGCTACTCAGCAGGAGGAGGTAGCAGGATTACAATCTGAGACTAGCTCTGGGCAAAAGCAGGAGAACTTATCTGAAAAATAAACTAAAGCAAAAAAGGCTGGGAATGTGGCTTAAGTACTAGAATGCTTGCCTATCAACAAAGGGCCCTATGGCAAGGCCCTGAGTTTAAAATCCCAATTCTGCCAAAAAGATATTTTTTCCTTAGCCTTAACAATTATCATCTGAATAGTCATCTTTTCAAAATTGTTTTTTAAGTCCCTTTTTGGCTATGTCAAGGGTATAGCCACTCCTCTTGCTCTGGTCCCACAGCCTCTGGTTCTGATTCATCAGTTGAACTGCCTGCAACTCAGTCCTTACTTTAGGCTTTAAACTTTTGTTTTTCCTGAATGAATCACATTTCATATTTTTCCAGGATAGCAAAATTGTGGCCTCAGGAATTACGCAGTTTGGACTGGAAGCCCTTTTCTATTCCTTACCCACACAATCACCTAGTGCCTCAGTTAGTTTGTCAAGTGGGGATAACTGCCTTCTTGGACTGTTGCAAGGCACACAGAACAATGTCCAATAAATAGATCTCAATGCATTGTAGGGATAATTATTATTATCCCTTCAATGCAAAAATACATATAACCCATAGAATTTTCTCTATTACTTCATATTCGTGTTATTAAACAACCAGGAAGGCACATTCAGTTTGTTTTATAAGTTTTCCTTTCAGAGACTCCAACTCTAATGTACAAAGCCTAATATTTCATTATTTTACTGTCAAGATAGACTTGCTCTTATTTTTTCCTTACTTGTACTCACTCTTTCCATTGCCCTTGAGCTATATTCTATAATTTAACAGGGTCCATTATGCAGCAGAGATGCTTTGAAAGTAGGCAGGGCTGAAAAACCAATGGGGACAAATGCACCCTCAATGCTAGGTCCTGGTGGTACCTAGATCCAACTCTAAAGGGATTATTAAATTAAACAGTTCTATCCTTTGCTTTCCTCTGGGTTTCCAGCAGTGGTTTAGAAATCAAATTCTGACTTTTCTCTGGCCTATTTTCTGAATGTTACATTTATGATCTTGGTCTTCACTCAGAAGAAGAAATCACTAACCACACATAAGCCAGGCTTGTGCTGGGCAAAGCAGTTACCTTTAGCACCTGTTCTACTCACTCTAGTAGAATTGAGATCCAAAGGGATGGACCGGAAGGTAGACACTGGCTCAATGAAAGGGAAACCTGGTATTCAGCACCACTCAGTAGAGGAAGGGGCTGTCCTAGAAGTTGTGAATCCCCTGTAAATGGAAATATTCAAACGGGGATTCTTTGATGACTTATTTCCCTTTTTGCCATTAGCATAAACAATCTTGAGATAATAACATAAAAGTCCATAGAAAAGAACCCAGATAATCTAACTCTAATGATTGTAATTAGCAACATTACTAATTCAGAAATTAGATGAGGAATAAAAGTATCATTAGCTTGTCATTAGAGAAAAATGATTTCTATAATATGAGTCAGACATTATGCCAGGAGTTACAGTGGATCCAAAGAATGTTAATAGAGGTTCCTTACTCCAAAATGGTCAAGAAAGAGAAAACTATTTGACAAGTTAAGTGATGACGCAGAGATAATATGCCTTTAGTATAGCAACAGATATATCTCTAATTGGACCCCATGGGCAGTTCAATAATAAATGCTATAGCATTGGAAAGGAGGCAGCTGTTTTTTTCAGGGCCTGTGGTATCTTAGTCTGCTTAAGTTGCCATAACAGAATACCACTGACTAGGTGGTTTAAACCATAGACATTTGTTTTCTTATAGTTCTGGAGGCTGGAAGTCTAAGGTCTTAGTGTCTGCAGGTCTGTTTCTTCTGAGGCCTCTGTTCTCGGCATGCAGATGACTGCCTTCTTGCTGGATCCTCAGATGGTCTTACCTCCATGCCTGGACACGCCTAGTGTCTCCCTGTGTATTTTAATCTCCTGCTCTTATAACACTGGGTTAGGACCCACCCTAATTGCCTCTTTAATGGCCCTATATTCGTGTTCTGAGGAACAGGAGGTTAAGATTGAACATATGATGGGGGAGGGGTAGACAGTTCAGCCTATAGTTGATGGCTTCCTAGATGACAGTGAGAATGAACTAGGACTGGATGATGAAAGGTGAGAAAGAAAGGGCAGTGAAGCATTCAATTAACATTCAAGGGCATGCAGTGCTTCCCCTCTTTCTTAGCAAGCACTCAAGACTGACAGATGTTTTTACTCTTCAGAATACAAAAGCAAATCATTCCCAGCAAGAAATGTGCTCTTCAGCCCAGACTGGAGGAGTGACTGTAAGTTGACATTTAAGTGATATTTTTTTTCCTTCATGGGGCCAGGCAGAATCATAAGCTGTAAAAGCATAGCTGGAGTGGGAAACAGAAGAAAGGCTGCACCTCACCTATCACACACTCCCATGGGGCTATCTTTTATAACCAATGCCAGCCTGACCATTAATGAGCCATTAGAAATTGTCACTTACTTCCAGACAAGTTGTGGTTGATCCTTGTGGATTTTAATAATTTATTGACTATATTTTTAGTTTGTTTTATTTTCTGAACCACATTGCATTTCATGTGGAACCCCCTATTTTCAGTAAATTTTCACTTAGTAGGACTTCCATGGTATAGAAATTCTTCTGGATGTTTTGGGGGTTGCTTATGGTAGTCTGCATTTTTATTAGTTTTCCTAAAATTTGCTATAACAAAAACAAAACAAGTAACCTTGGCCCCTTCTCCTTCTCCTTCTTCCATTTGAATGCAAATAGAATCTATCTAAGACTCTCATTTTACATCCTGCAATTTGGGGACAGTACTGGAGCACAATATTCTTCCCTGCACAAGACTTTACTTTCTTTTCTTTCTTTCTTTCCCATTCAGGGATCGATACAAAAATCAGTTCTATTCAGATTATGGAAATCCAGCAAATAATAGATCATCAGTACTGCAGTGAAAGGCTCCAGTGCGGGTGGGTAAGCTTCCCTATGATTCCCTGGTTGTCTCTGGAACTTACTTAGTGGTCTAGGTTTGACACTGGAATGGAAACTAAAAGTACATGGTGAAGTCAATGTGTGCTTCCATTGTTCCTTAAGTGAAAGCACATTGGTTACAATGTGTACGTGGTAATCATAAAACAGTTGGTATTAGCACATGTCAATAAGCCACAGTCCCAGTGATTCCAGCCTCCTGATTTAATGGCTAAGTTCAAAGCAAAAAGCCTCGGGAGCAGTTCTATGGCTGACTCTTTGAGGGCACATGCATCATGGTGTTTATAGACAAGAAAAGCATGGTTACTGATGTCTCCCAGTTATGAGTGAGCTGACATTTGTATATTCTAATAATAAGGAATGTCATTTTTTAATTGCTGAAAAATATAGCTTAACTTACTTAGCTTTTTCAGTAAGGAGGAAAAAAATCTAGATATTACAAAAGTTATCAGTAACATCCATCTCCAGTATATGCCGTTTCACTAGTAATGATATGTCTGGAAGCATAGGATGCAATTTGCTTCAGTAAGCGCAAATTCAAGTTGTAGGCACTAAGAATGAGGAGCTACTTTTCTTAATTTAGTAAATATTTACTGGGTTCCCACTAAGTAAAGTCAAGGGCTGTATTGTGAATGGATGTCACAAATCCTAAGTGTTTTCAGCCTTACTTTTTTTCCTGACAGAACTTAGGCTTCAAGTTTATGGTGCTAAGTTATAAAAATAAACTTTATGGTGTTTTGTGATTTGTTTATGGTTCATTAGCACATTAAATTCTCACAAAAACCCTAAGATGTTGGTATCATTTATCCTTGTTATATAGTTTTCAACGAGCTTGAAAAAATTTGCCTAAGATCACTCCTTTAGTAAGTAGTAGACATTATGAAAAAGAATCAGAGAATTCAGGCTCAAATCCTAGGACTTAGACAAAATGATTATTCTCCTTGCATATTCACTTCTCATCTGTAAGATGGGGATTCTATCAACTGAGTTGGGTTTCAAGCACGCAGATACTGGAAGGCACATAATAGGAAATGAATTCTATTTATCTAAGCTTCCCATGAAACAAAACTCTCCTGATCTAAAGGCAGATCTTTTTTTTATATACGTCAGTATATATTAATACACCAGTCACTGAAATAACAGTGTTATCAACTTGGTTCACAAGTAACATTCTTTCTTTAAAAGTTTTTTTGAAGGTATAATTGATAAGTAAAAATTGTATATATTCGAGATGTACAATGTGCTGTTTTGTTTTGATATTCCTATACAATGAGAAATGCCAGTTATTTCAATTCCCTGTATTTTTTGCTTTCACATTTCTAACAACTTAGCTTAGTATTATTTAAAAGGAATCTAAAATAACTGGCTCTTTTCTTACTTACAATTTTAAGTTCTTTTTCTATATAAAAATCTATAGGATGAGCAATTTAAAGAAAAACTTGTATCATACCAATATTCCATTTTACTGGGTTTTTCATTAAATATGAATCCCTGGGACTCCCCTTTCAACCTAAGTATTTGTCCTAAATTTGGGGGTTTGGATATTAGGTTCTATGGATAAAAAAATCTGCCTTACAGTTTTCTCCATTACTAAATAACAATCAGTGCTATAATAATTAAAGTAGACTCAGTATGTATTTCCTGGTAAGATTGTTTAAAAGGAAGTGACTTATGGTATAAAACTGATACTATTTCCAAGCCTCCTTTCCAGTGGGATCTTAAGTTTGAGGTCTTTGCCTCAATTTTCTTCTGAAATCTGCATCTCTATTAAACTTACATTTCCTGTGTGTTTGATTTTGGTAATTGGTCTTGGTTTTGATTTTTTATCATTTATAAATCTCAGGGGCATATTTTACATTAAGGCATGAACAATCAATTAATATATGCTGATAAAATTTTTAAAAGAAGTAAATTTTTAAAAAAATCAAAAAGATTGTATCCAAGCTGGACATGGTGCTACATGCCTGCAATCCCAGAAATTGGGAGGCTGAGGCAGGAGGATTGTGAGTTCAAGAACAGCCTGAGGCCTGTCTCAAGCAAAAGAAAAGAAAAAGATTGTATCCCTATTTTGGTATTGAAAAAGTGGCTATCATAGTCATGTATCTAACTGATGTAGGTGATTAAATAAAAAAATTAAAAGACACGAACAAGATCTCTGTGACATTTGACAAGTATGTCTCTAAGAATAAACCAAATAAACTATAAAAGGGAACTTGATTTTCTATACTTATTATCTATTATATAATATTTTGCAGTTTATATAGTGCATAGTGAGTGGCAGAAAGCCTTTTGAAGCTTTTCCTGCGTATTTTGATTTGTGGTTTTATTCTCTTCTGAAATTAGGCCTGAACATTATAATTACAATATTCCCGTTAATAAGAACACACCCAACAATGTCAAATTCTCTCTGGAAATCAAGTAAGTTCCTGGCTGTAAGAAACAATTTTGCTTTATCATTAATTGAACAGCAAGTCTGAATTTGCCTCTCAGTTAGGAGGTAGATAGCTGTCAGTCCCTGTTGACTAATGATGGGTGGAGAGGTGGCCAGCTCAGAGAGGAGATTTTAGAATGGGGGCTGAGATAGCCTAGGTCCCTCTAGGGAATGGAAGGACTCTGAACAGTACACTCACATCTGTGAAGTGGGAGTGACTTTGGTTTGATGCTTATAAGCTATAGTCTTTCTCTGGCTATCTCCCTTCAAACTGGGGTGAGAACATGTGTAATAAATAACATGGTCCCTGGATAGGAGGCTGTACATTTTGGTGAGCTCCTGGTAGCAAAATAAATGCAGGTAGCACCCCGTTTGCCCTGCCGCAGAAAAAAAAGCTACTGGAGTTTGGAATTGGGTAGACCAAGCTTCAAGTTTTGTTTTTATCACTATGACCTTGGAAAAACCACTTATTTTCTCTGAGCTACCATTTTTTTTCATCTGTAAAATGTGTATTGCCTAACTACCACTTACTGAACACAGGCTACATGGCAGATATTATATACATTAATACATGGTTATATAATCCCCACAACAACCCTCCCAGGATGATTGTCTCCAGTTTATATTTTATAGATAGGAACATTTGAGTATAGAGAAGTAAAAAAAAAGTGCTACAAAACTCATAGCTCGTAAGTGGTAGGTCTGGGCTTCGAGCACAGCCTCGCTTACTCAGTCATGACCTCCTGCCTCACCTATGAGGTGTAAGGTTATTGCCCCTCCTGACTCATAGAAGGTATTCAATAAATGGTAGTTTTTATTTCATCTACCTTTCCTCCAAAATCATAGAACTCTAACCTATTCTTGTCTCACTCTGTAGATCAAGCTAACCTCAAACTCAAGATCCTCCTGCCTCTGTCTCCCGAGTGCTGGGATCACTTGCATGTACTATCACACCTGATTTCTTATCTTATATTTTAAATAATGGTACTTTAAGACTTTCAACCCATTTCACTCAAAAATTATACAATGAGTCATTCACCATGAAGACAGAGGGTTTTATTTTCTGCCTATTGATTTTAGTCTCTTCTTTCCCCCTCCATATTCCCTTTGTTCTCTTTCCTTTTATTCCCTCTCTTGCCTTTTCCTCTGTTCTCCTTATGCTCCCCCTGTTCCCCCAGCAATGTTTTCCTCTTTCGTCACTCACCATGCCCCTTCTATCACCTGTTTCACCCTAGCTTCATATTCCTTTTCATACCACCTCTGCTTATACAAGGAGGCAATCTCTCCATGCAACTGCTTGCCTTGAAAAGATTTGTTTCAGTTTGTTTCATGACTCAGAACTCATCATATTTCAGGCAGAGAGAAAGTAAATGTACTATTCTTCCAAGTTAAATGGTCTATTCTCTGGCACTCCTTGAGAAACCTGGAATAGCATTTCCTTTTCATTCTAGCTTTCAACAGAAGGAAATAAGATCATATGTCATATCCCCAGAAGTGACAGAAGATAGCGTTGAGCTACTAATTTAGGCCTTTTGCTTTATGAACGATTTTTCAAATATGGGTGATTTAAAATAGCACGGATAACAGTTTCCTCTCCTTCCATCACGGCTTCACTTCCTACAAGTCCAGTTACTGTCAATCACTGTCCCAAAATATTGGATGGAAAAATCGGAAAAAATAATTTCCTAAGTTTTTAACAGTATATTATTATAATTGTTCTATTTTGTTATTTGTTATTATTGTCAATCTCTTACTAAGCCTAATTTATAAATTAAGTTTTATTATAGGTATGTCTGTATAAGGAAAAAGACAGTGTATATAGGGTTCAGTCCTATCTGCAGTTTCAGGGGTCTTGGAATGTATCACCCATGGATAAGAGGGGATTACTGTAAACTCTACTGAGATTATAGGTTGTTCCCACTTGTGCAAAAGGATGACTGTCATCCTGCTAGTGACGATTAATGGATTGACCACCAGAAAAGAACCATCCTTTCTTGCAGGTCTTCCACTCTGGTGACTTTAAAAGTTGGTGACTTCTAATGGGACTCACCTCAACTCCCTCTTTGTGTTTGTTTGCCTTGCTATTTCCAACAATCTCTACCTAGATCAGGAATTTGCAGAATCCACAGTCTTAAGAGTTTCAGATAAGAACAAATTCAGCTGCCGGTAACAAGAGAAGGGATTTATCCAAAATTTGTTTTAAAAATTATTAAAAATCTGATGTAAGATTATCTGAGTCATGATACTAGGTTTTAGAAACTATCATATGCTATGTCAGTAGTCATCTGAAGGTAGGGTTTTTGGTTTTTTTTTTTACAGTAATAAAATGTGACGTAACCTATTGGCTTCCTTGAGCATTATATGATAAGATGCCTACTGTGAATTTCGAAGGGATTTCCAGCTTACATTCCCATCAGTACCTATTATCAAGGTGTAGCTTCATAAGAACTGGTTGCTGCTTTTCCATTTACCCCTCCCCCATCTCCTTTGTCTTTTGAAGCACAACAGAGCCACTGGTTGTCTTCCTGTGCAAATACACCCTTGGGAATATATGTTTCCATAGTCAAAAGGAAACCAAAAAGAGTCAAAACCTTGGAGATTTCTCCCAGGGGATGACACAGGTAATGTTTTCTGACTCCTTGACATTTTGTCCCGTTTGTAGCAGAAGTGTATTTAGAATTGTCCCTACTGAGGGAAGGATGCATTGAGCTAGGTGCCAGTGTTTCCTCTTGCTGGCTGACCCTGGCCATAAGGTTTGGCTCAGCATCTTCCTTGTGTCCTTCAGAAGCTGCAGATTGTTCTAGTGACACCTACCAAAGCTGTTATCACAGAAGCTCCTTCTATAGTCGTCAGGGGAATGTTTCCTTGGCCTATATCTTTCCAACTGAGTGTAAAATGTGGTTATGAAATGAATCTCTCTCACTCATTATTTAGGGATATCAGCACATTTGGAGCCTCCCGGTGGCCCTGTTCTCTGATAGCGCATACCATTTCCGTGTAGCCGTACCAGTAAGCTTGCTTTTTTTTTTTCTTTTCCTTTTCAGTGAGTAAGAAATTGGCTACTAAATAAATAGATAAATGAAAGGCTTTCATGACAGTTAATTTTTACATTAATCTTGCCCCTCTTTTTTTCTCTTCTTATAGGGCTTAGCTGACTGCTCAACGGATTCTTTCTTCGCTGGAATTTTCTTCACAGATTACTTCTTTTATTTCTATCGACACTGTACTTAATTTATTCAAGTTTGGGGACTTTATCAAGGAAAGAATGCTCAGAAATACAATTAACAGAAACTGATATCCTCTTGCATTTTCTTTCATCTTTTCTGTAAAACGTTCACATTTTTGCTGAAGGACTTTTTCAGGGTTTGGCTTCCAACAGTTTTGAGACATTAGTGAGGAGAATAAAGCATTTGCTGGATCTTGAGAGCATGTGGTGTTTGATTTTGTCATGGTTTTGAAGAAAACATTTCCTGGAGTAAACAGTACTGTTGGATTTGAAAATATTGCTTCTGGCATTAAGGAAGCTGTGAGTTCAAAATAAGCAGGTCTAGCTCTACTTTGTCTTACTGTATTTCAAAGCTTTTGAGAAAACAAAAACAAAAAGGACACATCAACTTAGATCCACTAAACGTAGGCTCTTAAGGATGTGAATATGGTGATGGTGAGGGTAGGTCATATGAAGGATATGAGGAGTTGAGTGGTGTCTGATGCTCAGCTCTTTTTAGGTAAAATACTTGTGTGTGTGTGTGTGTGTGTGTGTGTGTGTGTGTGTGTGTGTGTGTGTACATACATTAGCATATGAAATGAAGCTTGTTAATGAAATGGATTTAAGAGAAAGATTTCCGCCTCTGCTTTGTAATTCTAACGGACACTAAATTTTCTGTGTGAGTACAACGTGCCCTCTTATGAAAATGGAAGTTCCCATGCCCCTGAGTACACTGAAGCAGTTCAAACAAGCCAGTCCTAAGTCTTCTTGTACTGCCTTGCTTATGCCTGGCTTGATTACCACAATCAAGGTTCTTGCCTACAGTCTCCCTCTCCTGCTGCCTCCTGACTAACACCAGTGCTGCCTCACATGACATGGCAGGACCTCTTGTCTTGGGAATGGTAAGTTAAAAAGACCATCTTTTTGACGGCAGTCAGCTCTGATTTTTGGGCCTTATCATACCTCAGTTTTTTCTTACTATGTTATATTTTAGAACAGAGGGCCCAAGCCACTGTCACTGAAGTTTGGGTGAGAGGGCTGCTGAATGGCTTTTAGTTGGTCTGTGGGTCAGTTAGGATGAAGCTAACGTTTTACTTTCACAGTGGTAGTAAGCAGTGATAAATCATCTTCCTCTTTCTTATTTTCAGATATTATTTAGTATAATATCTGAAATATTAATAGGAATTAACTGTGGGACCTTAACAAAAAAAAAAACATGGTTCTTGCTCTCCCAGGAAGTGTTTTGAAGTAAACTTCTCAACACAAAGGTAGCTTAACCCAGTGGGATTCTGGAGCCACATATTCCTAGTCTTGAGTTCAAATTCTGACTTTATCTATGTCTCCTTAGGCAAGGTAATTAACTTCTCTAAGCCTCAGTTTCCTTATTAATAGAAGAGGACTGTATCTATAACAGACAGAATTAACTGAGATAAAGTATATAAAGCACAAATAGGTCCAAATAAATTTGAGCTATTGTAATATTTGCATAAGACAGAATCATTACGAAGTTTACAGTGGGACTATAAAGGGATCAAGTAACTAAATACACATTTATCAAAGCATTTTCATCAACTATACAGCCCAGAGTGCACACAGAACATATGCATGTGTATTACATCATATTTCTATTTTTTCTATACTTTGAAAGTTATTTTTCCTTTACTAATAGCATAGCATTTGTAGAAAGTAGAATAAGGTAGTTAATTCTTGGGAAGAGTATTTTAGAATTCCTCCAGTTTCTTAGGTTCAAATTCAGTCTCAGTTCTCCTTAGTTAATATCAGCCTGTCCCAGTGAGACTTGGGTTCAAATACTACAGTCCTCACTCTATGTCTTCATAGACTCCCAGGTGGTTGGTGTGGGAGAGAGTTCTCTAATTTGCTTCTCCTCCTAGTAAAGGAATGTATGTTGCCAGCATATGACCACATTCTTTATATTCATACATTTGTGTTCAGGGCAACATGGGGCTTTCAGATGTCTACATTACTTTAGTAATGTCGCCTCTAAGGTGGTTTCTATAAAATTAGTATGTTTCCCATTAATTCCATTTGAAGACAGCAAGTATTTTTCCCACAAACAACCTGCAGGAGATTATGTTGAAAGTCTTCAGAAAGAAATTATTTAAGATGGTAAATCGTAGCACACTGGGCTTAATTAAGTTTTTGGGAGAATAGACTTTCTTAGAAGATTGTATTTGCAGCACTTTCCCAACTGTGAGATGCCCATTGTGGACCATGCTGCTTCAAGCCAAAAGACATTTCCTTCAGCCAGAATTATCTGACTTTCCACTGAATATCCCCAAACTCTTAGTAATGAAGATGCCTGTAAGAGTCTTCATTTCTAAAACTCATAATCTCAGTTTAATTATGAGAAAAACATCAGCTAAGTTCTGAGAGACAATCTACAAAATACTTGACCAGTATGTCCCTAAATTGTCATGGTTATGAAAAACAAAGAAAGTCTGAAAAACTGTCAGAGCTAAGAGGCGCTAAAAGGAACATGATGACTAATGTAGTCTGTTAGCCTGGATGGGTCCCCAAAATGGAAAGGGATATTAAATAAAAACTAAGCAAATATGAAGAAAGCATTAACCAAAGTCTGGACTTTAGTTAAGAATAGTTTTTTAATATTACCTCATTAATACTAAATTGTGATAAGCATACCATACTAAGCATAAGGTGTTGATAAAAGAGGAAACTAGTGTGGGGTTTTTTGGGAACTATGTGTACAATGTTTTGCAATTTTTCTATAAATCTCACACTGTTCTAAAATAAGCAGTTTATTTAAAAAACATTCAGGAAAAAAGTCCACAAGAGCAGAGCCAAAATATCACAAGCTGCAACCAGGTGCCATTGGTAGTTCAGCCACGACAAACAGGCACCACTTTTAACTTTAGGTCATTCAGAGTATCTTAGCCCCCTGTTTTGCCAGTTATTTAAGGTCATATTCTATATGTCAAGTTAATCCCCAAACACAGAATATTATAAAATAATTATATAACATAAACACATAAAATTTCAGTAATTTTTATAAGTTCTAATAAAGATACTCAAGACTTTGAACACTGTTTAGAGTTTTTTAAACAACTGAACCATAAAAAATTCACTGTTGCACAATAGTTAGCTTTCATATGTTCAACACTCCAGCATTTTTTAAACAAAAACGTTTTGAACTGCTTTTAACCTACCTCTTTTTTAAAAATTTTCATCCTAGTTTATTTGTCCCATACATTTTTGAAGTTTATCTGTAGTGACAGATTTCCAACAATACATTGTTTGAGTTGTGAAACTAAGTATCTTCAAAAGAAAAGCAGAACAGCAATTCTTTTGGCAATTTCAAAGCCCTTTCAAGACCTCTCATTTGATTCTCACCACAGCCCTGTGATGCTGAGAGGGAAGGAAATTACTCCTGTTTCTCTATTACACAGACTAAGACTAAAGCACTGAGACGTTAGGCAAGGACAAGAGGTGAGCCAGGTTTTCTTGGGTTAAATTTCAGTCCTGTCTGCTATGCTACTTCACCTCCCCTTAAGAATTTGCTCCTTTCTTCATGACTCTTTAGAGTTTATGAGAGACCACCAACTCAGATATTGACCCACCAAAAAGCACTAATACACTAATGGCTCTGGTAAGTGATTTTTCTCCAGGACCTATAAGCTAATTTAGAGGACATTTAGTCATAATACAGAATAGGAGGAGGGCCTGAGAAGGGTGGAATCTCCTGTCACCAGCCACTAAGTCACATCTATTTATAATACACTACAGCTTAACAGCTCACTTAAGAATGCTAACTATCAACCTCACTCCAAGGAACACTCCAGTAAAATCTTTACTTTGCAAAGCTAAAAGTGTTTGGGCTTTCAAGTCTTCAAGGGCATTGATTTTTTGTCTGATTCTAAAGAGCCAATTGAGCTCTTAAGAAGCATGTAAGGATTTAGAATCTAGTGCATTTTTGATGAGAGGTTGTTTAAAGCTTGTAGAAATGCAGCTCCAGAGACTTTCAATTTACCAACAATGTTGAGTATACAAGTCCATCTTTCCATGGCTGGATTCTGTGAATGGGAAGGTCTTTGTCAGTTCTATGACGTACAGTTGGAGGAAGGAATGACTGCCAAAAATCACAGTCTCAATCCTTTAATTTCTTTATGGCCTCACATAAATATAAAATGAGGTCATATTTTAGAAAGACTCTTGATAAAATGTCCTCACCAGAGTTGAGTTCTCAAGTCATTTTTAGCCACGCCAGTCTGATCTACTGTTTAAATGCAAAATGACTAGTAAAAGAACTAAACTCCAAGCTGGGAGACTTAGTGTTAGTCCTGGCTTAATAACGTGTCATTGGTGTTAATCTTGGATAATTCCCTTAATTTCTCTGCATTTCATTTTCCTCATTGCAAGATTGGATGGATAATAGTCTTGCCTACCACTAGGGATTTTCGTGAACACTACATGAGATATTTATATGAAACCTCTTTGTAATGTGGAAGATACTGTATGAATACAGGAACCAATAAATCTGGTCTCTGAGAAGGAATTATTTTGAATGAGTAAATAAGACTTTGGAAATTCTCCCTTCTTTTAATGAGTATCAGCCCATTATGCCATCTTCTCCATCTATCATCTTCTTCACCTGGAAAGCATGTTGTCTCACACATAATAGGTGATCAATTAACATTTATTAAGTGAGAAGTATGTAAATAGAAACATTGTCCTCTTATTTACTGGGGAGTAAGGTGAGAAGGCATACTAAAACAGAATTGAATTCCTCTCACTCTTCCACTGTGATAATTTTTTATTGCCACTATTTGGAATAAGGTTATTATTGTTATTATTATTTGGAATAAGAAGTTAATATCCCTTTCTCCAAGCACACTTAAATACCCCTAAATGATGTCCAATAGAAAATGCAGAGAATCAAATGGTCTATTGTCTGTTAGAGGATTCCAGAACCCTGATAGTTAGCTATGGTTTTATTATTCATCGTTTATATTTATACTGCTACTTTTAATTCTGTATAGCATAACTGCAT